AAGTGTTGCGTCCTGGCACTTACATTTTGGAAAGCCTCGTCGACAAACGAATTCAACATCAATGGAATGCAGAACAGTTAAGGCTGTACTACCAATAGTGTATGTAATTCTTACGCATCTTAATTATATTTTTTGGGCAATTTATATAAATTGATGAGTTTGTAGAAATATTGTTCAAAAATAAGAAAGGAATTTATCCCTTAATAACATGTCTGCTTAAAAAATCAAGGTATATTAAACAGACATGTGGGGCAGTAGGAGATCTACGGATCACTAGAAGACGACGACCCTAAGGGGTAAAAGTTAAACGTCGTCTCCTCCAAGGAGGAGAGGCGAACACTTAGAAAATTTTATGAAATTTTCTAAAAACGATGACCCCAAGGGGTAAAAGTTAACGTCGTCTCCTTCAAGGAGGAGAGGCGAACACTTATAAAATTTTACGAAATTTTCTAAAAACAATGACCCCAAGGGGTAAAAGTTAACGTCGTCTCCTCCAATGAGGAGAGGCGAACACTTAGAAAATTTTACAAAATTTTCAAAAAACGACGACCCCAAAGGGTAAAAGTTAACGTCGTCTCCTTCAAGAAGGAGAGGCAAACACTTATAAAATTTTACGAAATTTTCTAAAAACGACGACCCCAAGGGGTAAAAGTTAACGTCGTCTCCTCTAAGGAGTAGAGGCGAACACTTAGAAAATTTTACGAAATTTCCTAATATGATGACCCCAAGGGGTGAGGAAAGCGACGAACGATTATAAAATCTATCTTCAAAAACGAATAAAATGAAAGGAAATTCCAATATTATATAAATGTATAAACATATAGGATTACAAAAAAGAAAAAAAAACCCTAAGCATCATCGCCAGCCACCGAGTCATCACCATTTCCAGGTGGAGAAGAAATGCCGTCATTAGCAGGAGGAGGAGGAATATAAAGGAAGCTCAAATCCCACTCATGATGCTCTTGTTTGATTAGATCGACAATTTGCTATCCAGCAGACTGAAAGTCCTTGGTGCGAATGTCGATGAGCTCTGGGGAAGCCTTGAACTCCTCAATAATCTCGACGCACTTGGCGTCGAGCATTGTTGAGGCCTCGGCTTCAGCTTCCTTCTTCCCTTCAGCTTTTCCCTTGGCAAAGCACTTCTTCACGGCCTCAGTAGCTTCGGCCGATTTCTTCTCAGAAGCTTCCGCCCGTTTTGTAAGATCTTCAACCGCAGCCTTCAAACTGGCCGACTCATTTTCAAAACTTGTTAGCTTGGCCAGTTCCCCTTCCAAACTCGCCAGCTTGGCCACGGCCACGTCCCTCTCTTCGACGGCAGACGAGCACTTTTCCTTGGCAGCGTCGAGAAGAGATGTAAGCTTGACTTCCAGGCTGTCCATCTCCTTACCACGTTCCTCAACCTTGACTAGATCAATAAGATTGAGAATGGCAAGGACTAGGCTCTGAGAAATTGGGAGTCGGAAAATAAAGATGCGAAGGACGAATCTAAAAATGAAAAAAGCACGATCGAAACTTACATGAACCTGGAAGGAAATCTACTTGTGCTAACGATCCACCAGAGAAGACTAAGCGGCGGAGATCCAGTGCGGCTCAAGGAATGATTCGTACAAGGGCTGCAAGACGAGGGAGAAACGGGGAGGAAGCTTCAGCATGGCCCCAATCTCGGTGTCAGAAATATCCGAGACTTGGAAGTTGAAATCCATGATTTTTTCTCCCGGCATAACCACGCGTTCCCTAGGCGCCGAAGGAATACCAGCAACGTCGGGGGTTGGAACTGCCGGCGTCCAAGTCTCGGTCACCGGCACCTTCTCTTTGCGCCCCTTTTTGGGCGCAGGAGCTTCCACCCCTAACCCCGAAGGAACCTCCGCAGTTTTCCTTCTCTTCGGCGCCGGGAAAAAGGTGCTGGCTTTCTCTTTTCCTTTGGATTGAGACTGCGGGCCGGGCTGAGGCTGCTGGTTGCCTGGGGAGCTGAATCCTCAAAAAAGCCATTTCTGTACAAATGACTGGTCAGAATGTAGTCAATATACAGTTATGCCAAACAAGATTAAGGGAAGCGTCGAGCCCAAGAGTTTACCTTCGTCGCTTAGATGAAAATATTCACGGACGGTGGGAAGATCAAAAAGGTCTGGAAGGTCAAGAATCAACCCTGCCTCTCTAAGGTTGGACTCGGTCAAGAGGGTGTCGATATGGCGAGCCTTCTCCGAGTACAAAAATGCCTTTTCAACCCTCGCCAATCTGTTCCCAGTGAGCTTCGGCCGATCGTGGCTGACTGTAGGGTAAAAGAACTGTCAGCAAAAAAAAAAAAAAAAAAAAAAAAAGAGAAGAGAAGGAAAGGGATAGAAACGAAGTGTCAAATTCTCACCCATATTCCCAAACGACGTTTGCACCTTCCTTCGGCGGGGCATACGGTCGTCAGGGTGAAAATTAAAAGCCCCCGTATCATGAAAAACATGGGTTTCCACCCATGTGACGACGAGGGAATACCTCGTATCACTGTACGAAACCTAGGTTTGGATCGCCCATGCCCACTCAAAAAATGCCACCCCTCGTATTTGGCGACGTGGCATAATCTGTACATAAACATAAATTCATCGAGCGGTAAGTCCATATCAAACCGCTGGCTCCAAAAAACCCAGGCGCCGGCAAAACAATACTAAAAATTCAGCGCCAATTGGGCATGAGAGATACCATAAAAATGACAGTAGTCTTTAACGAAGGGATGAACGGGTAAGGTCATCCCCGCCGTAACAGCCCGAGTATACACGGGGAGATACCCGATAGGCATGCCGGTCTTAAAATGTACATCCGGGAGGAGGTACTCAAACCACCTCCCGTCGATCCAACCTTCTTTAACAGCCCGAGCCATGTCTTTATTTCGGACCCTCGACGCCACGACATCGGCCGTAAAAAATGGCATGTCTGGGTCTCCGCTCGTAGCAGCCAAGGGGGCATCCACCATTGAAGCGGCGACCCCACATACGCTGCCTCCCGTGAAAGGAATCTTATTAACTTCTTCTTCCATCATACGGTCGACGCTGTCAAACTCGTCGCCAAAACCCTCGCTTGGTCTGCCCATATATTCTTCTATTTCACTCAATATTGAGTTGCCGTCTGATGAGGAAGATGACCACGAAATCTCCACCACGGAAGGGGAGTTTGGTCGTACAACGAACGGGTCCTCTCGACAGGTGGGGTTTGAGGCCATTGTTCTGGTGGTAAAAAAGACAATGAGCTAAGTTAAAATCCTAAGTCGAGAGGGAGGAGTAAATGACGACCATTCTAAAGCGACGATTGCTCAATTACCACTGGCACCTCTTAACATAACGTCGACCATTCATATAAAAATGGTAATGACGAGTGTTTATGAACAACCGAGGATCATTAGAACCTAGGAGTCAGAGACCACAACCAGCCAGAAATTAGAAAATTATCCTACGTGGGTCAAACAAAGCATATGATAAAGTCTCTATCCTCTACATTTCACATATTAACATGCGTATGGTTCAATAGGAAAGCCAGTAAAGTTATTAAACAATATGAACGAGCAATCGTCAAGCTTACCGGTGAATCGGAATCTGGGCAAAGTCAGGGTACCGAGATAGCTTCACGAGGTGCCAAGAAGAGCAGGGGATGCAAGTCGGAATCTACAAGAAAGAACTCAGGCAGAGTAACTGCAGTTCAAGAAGTTTTGGAAAAAATGGCTTCGGTTCGAGGAGTATTTAAAGAAAAACGAGCCATCGACCCTTGACTGTTAGATAAAGTTCATAAAATCCAACGGCAGGGGCATTTTGCCCAGATCTGGCGGCAACAAGCAAAGGCGGGAAGATGAAGGGGCACGATCCAAGGGCTCGTATTCGCCTTTTCAAAATAAAGCCTTACGTCAGCTTGGTGAAATGACCGACGCGATGGTTACGTTCCTCGAGGAAAGCCAAAACGTCAAGACTATCATTACAGAAGAAGGCTCGGAATTAGGTTCCCACACTCGAGGCACAGAAAAACACCCGAACCTAGCTCGAGGCTGTCTAAAGAAAACCCTAGACCTGGGGGGCAGCTGTTGTGTGGGAAAATATGGGTGACATGTGGAACGGCGACAGCGTGACATGTGGCCCTACTTTCCCTCAAAAAGTGACAATCCTCGACGCCTAAAACTCGCTTCCCCTCTACGCTGCAAAGAAAGGCCCAACTTAGGGCGTCGACCAGTCGTGCCGTCGAACTTATGGCAACAAAATCCCCGTCTGGAAAGGGTCGACTGCCAGGAAGGACATGAGGTTTACGCAACACAGACGACGAGGGGAATACTCTTCAGAACGAAACCTGACATCACAAGTTGCGTCTAGGGGTGAGAGACGTCTGTAGTACGGGCATTAATTGCAATCCCCTAAACCGCCCTACAGTGGGCAGTGAAGGATTACAGGAATCCACAGAGCCGTAATGGAAGACCAATTGACTGAGTGAACAGTCCAAAAAGTGATTAGTGGGCTACGGTCTGGACCTAGAAAGGTAGGTCACTCGAGTATTTTTTGCCTATGAAGGAAAACCACCCACGAAGAAAGCTTGAGCTATAAAAGGGGCAAAGCCCCATACACGAAAGGGATGGACTTCTCGAGTATTGAATCATAGAGAGAATATACGTGCATGTAAATTGTAAAAGTCCAAAGAAATATATCATATACAAGTGGATGTAGCTCTTCATTAACAGAGTGAACCACTATAAATCTCGTGTGTCCTCTCATTCAAGCGTTACACTCATGCCCCAAAAAATACAACAAACACTTCACAGCCTGATTTTAAATATATAGTTAACTTTCAGCCGGCAACCCAACGGGATACCAGCGGGTAACCCGGCATATTTCTGTTGACGGAATTCAACCATCAACAATACTTATTCTCCTAGGCTATATAAAGTAAAGTTTTTCCTGTAAAGTTGTAAGTTTTGACTGATGAATATAGCAGTGCACAGATTGTTTTTCTCCTCAAATTAGCTTTTAATTGTTTATTAGGATCGCTGGCTTGGAACAGGAGATTGAGAACATGAAAAAGAAGTTTGCTGCTTGTACTAGAGAGAATCTCAATCTTCAAGAGGAGCTATCAGAGGCTTATAGAATCAAGGTGATAGAGAAAAATTTATTATCCAAATGTAGCCTTTTGTAATGAGCTTATTATATGTTTCTTTTGCTTTTCTACAGAGCCAACTAGCTGATCTTCATAGTGCAGAGGTTGCAAAGGCATCATCTCTCTCTCTCTCTCTCTCTCTCTCTCTCTAAAACACAATAATGTTGGTTCTGTTTGGCTTGACAGTGATGAAAGGCTTCTTCTTTGAGCTCTCAATCGGTTTGAAATGTATTATTGCTTAATGTTGCAGTTAGTTTCATGGGTCTAAGTTGTTTGATTTTCTTTTTTCCTGATTTCGTTGTCCTCAAGAACTTGGAAGCAGAGAAGCAGGTTAAGTTTTTTCAAGGCTGTGTAGCTGCTGCTTTTGCCGAACGGGATAATTCCATAATGGAGGTAAATGGTGGCTATCTTTAAGCTTGATATTCATATTACTTCATTAGAATTTTCTCGCTGTAAGAATTTTTCCCCCTGAAAAATACACCAATTTTTTGAAGATTTTAATGCTTGTAATAGGCTGAGAAGGCAAAGGAGAGTGAGGAATTGATGTCAAAGCAATTCAATGATCTGCAAAGGAGGTATTAGTCTTACGTATGTATGTATGCAAATACAACATCTTTTTATAATATATACAAGCAAAGTGAGTCTAGAACTGCAGCTAGCAAAATAATGCTAAATCACGTAGCTACATACGGTATATGATCAGGAAACTGTTTCAACAAATATAAGATATCAGAGGTTCTACTTAGCTATTCATTACTTGTAAGATGTCATTTATCTGAAAGTTCTAATATTTAGGCTGGCTTGTTATCGATGATACAGGATAGAAGAGCTCACAGCAGATTGTTCCGCACAGAAAAAACTTACCGATGAACTGCAGGTTAGCTTAGATATGAAGGAGGAGCAGAATAAAACCTTTAAGAATGTGATTGCCTCGATCTCTTGCTCTCTCTCTTTGATCTATAGCAATGAGTATGCTATTGGTTTACATATATAGCTTTTTCTGCCCAAGTTGAACTTTATGCTAAAAAAATCAATTTTCAGTTTCCCTTGTCTGTTGAATTGAAGTATGCCTTCTGCTTTCCCTTTCTTTCCATCTGAAGGAGATATTTTCATGACAGATTATTGACAAGTTCTACCAGATCAGGCAACATTCTACAGAGGGATCTGAGGTTACAAGTTGGGATAATAAATGTGTATACCTTTTGCATGATCCTGCAGAAATGTGGAGTTTCAATGATACAACGACAGCTAAATATATTGTAAGTCTTCATATTCCTAAATTTTCATGTTCTGTATAGTTTTATTCATCATCCATTTGTATTATTATAATTACAATTTTCAATTTCACTTGATATCTTTTCCCCTTGGCTAATCTTGCTTTCAGAATTTACCTGGAGTTGCTATGTGCAACTTGAAATTTTGGAACCTGTAAATTGGATATACATTTTCGGCTTATGTTAGTTGAGAAGCAATTGGATGCTGGAAAAGAGTTTTTCTAATCTAGCTTAAGACATATCAATAGTGCCTTTGAATTTAATTCCTCATATTCACTAGTGCCTTTGAATTTACACTTTTTATCCAAATGCTATCAATTAACTTTTCTTCAGACAGAGTGCATTGGAAGGAGAGTTGGAAATGGCGAAGAAGTCTTCAGATAATCTTCAGAATAAGCTACGGGTGGTATGTTATTTTACTGGTCCTTGTTACCCCAAAACTGAATTCTGTAGTTTTTATATTTTTAGAATTTGATTGTTTTTGGCTTGCAGGGTTTGGAGATTGAAAATCATTTGAAGAGGAGGGTTCGCGAATTAGAACAGAAGAGTGTGAGTTTCTAAATCCCAAAGAAAAAAAAAAGAGAAAAAAAATTCCCCGCTGCTGTTTTGCGTGCTAATTTTCAAATCCAATCGAATTGGGTGCAGATCCATGCAGATGCAATGATCAAAAACAGGATTGCTGAGCTGCGTCATCATTATTCTGAGTGTAGGGTTCACATTGTGAATTTACTTGATGATGGAAAATCTCTGATCAAATCGTCTGTTGATGCAATAGATGAGAAGATTAGAGAATTTGGTGCTAGCAAAGCACAAACTTTGGAGCTTTCTCCGAGAGAAGTAAATCAAGAAGAACATGAATGTCGAGATGTACATATAACTCCCGGCGTGCCCCATGATTTACTATCCAAGGAATCTGAGGTACTTTACATGTCTTTGGAATTGTGGTTTTGGTTATGGAAGTGGATTGATATAGTCATGATGTGATTCCTATTGCTTGTGCTGGATTGTTAGAATTTCAAACCCGGATACGTTCATTTATCAACTGTCATAGGTATATTTATGGAAGAACTCATGAAATTTTTAACACTAATTTTCCCTTTAGCAGAGGAGTAATCCCGACAGTCTGGGTGATGGAAAGGATGATGCTTCGAAAGCCCTAGCACAGGCATTGCAAGAGAAGGTTTTTCTTCTGTCTTTGGATTCTTAATTTTTATTTAGACAATTTTGTATGGACCACAAATACCCTAGATACTATATTCTGTCTCCATTATTCTTCTTATCACAGCAATGCATGTATCCAATTTGGGGTAATCGTACGCTGTTATCAACCACCTGTTGGAAATATTTTTCCAGGTTGCGACGTTATTACTTTTGTCACAGCAAGAAGAAAGACATTTGCTGGACAGTAATGTGAATACTGCTCTTCAAAGAAAAATAGAGGAGCTTCAAAGAAACTTACTTCAGGTGGTTTCCATTCAGTGTTTTCTTCTTGTATTTTAGCTCTAAAATTAAAATGATGCGTCTTAAATTCCCAGTTGTAGTTCTATGAAAACGGTATTTGCTCAAAAGACTTCAAAACTATGTGGTTGCGTGTGGAGGTCACAGTTTGATCATATAAGCTGAGTAGCTGACTAGCAAAGTTTTTTTGTTTTGTTTTTTGTTTGCATTTATTTTCCTGAAGGAGATAAACTTAAATCCCTTGATAAATGACCCTAAGGATTAAAAAAAAAAAAAAAACAGAAAAATAATGTCATTGTTAAAATGTAAGTGCAAAGAGGTCATTATTTTTTGATTTTTTTTTTAAATAGTAATCTTGTCTGTATTTTATTTGGACATTAGTGAAGATACTTGTTAGTTTAACCTGTAATAACCTCAACTCTTTGAAGATACTTGTTAGTTTCACCTGTAATAACCTCAACACTTATTTATTTATTATTAGTTTTTAAGCTGAAGAAGTAAGATATTAACTTTCTAATATCGTGCTTTTACTTACGTATATAATTGATAAATGGCTTTGCGCCAGTTGTCTAATTTATGTCTTTATTTGCCCAAATTCTCCTATGTTGATTGAGACAGGACTTTGTAGTTTGCATTGTATGTCATTGGTTAATGGCTTTGGACCAGTTGTCTAATTTATGTGTTTGCCCAAATTCTTACGTGTTCATTTACATATATATTTGAGTAATCCATTTCATCCAGACACTGCCTATATGGTTAAATTAATTCATTGACAATTCAATTTTTTTTTATTGGTACAGGTTACTAATGAAAAGGTAAGAGCTCTGATGGAGTTGGCACAATTGAAGCAGGAATATCAACTGCTTAAAGAGTAAGATTTCTTTTTCCTTGTTCAACTTAAACTGTTAACACTGCCGTTTCTGATTGTTTGTTGGTTCTGTTTCTGTGATATTCCCCCGCCCTTTTTTCCCTTTTTCTTATGTTTACATAAGCAACTTCTATTTTACTAGTAGTAAGAAGTTGCATCTCCGACTATTTCTCTTTTTGGCTCTGGGACGAACACGCATATATTAGATACATATAAATTCACCTACAATCCCATGAAAATGAGTTAAAGCCTAAGACACCAAGTTCCCTTCCTAGGGTCAAGGACTGGGATGGCAAATGTAAATATTATCACTTAGCCTCTCTTATACTGTGCGGGAGCAGACTGGCTGTGCCTTTTTTTATCCCCCCGCTTAAAATTCTCTAGACCTTCTGGTGTAGTTTCCTTGTCAACTTATTGAAAGTAGCACGAGCTCACAACTTGTCGTGTTTATACAGGAAAAATGGTGGTCACATAGATAAAGAAAAAGTTGATGTTGGGGATAAGAGAGTTGATGCTCCCGAAAAAGGTGGTAGATTAACAAACTTGCTGAAGAAAACAAATTTGAAACGCTGGGTTGGTACACTAGACCTTAGGGTAAATGAAGCTGAAGTTCATATGGATTTTGCCAGGTTTGTGAAGAGTTTTATGTATACTTCGATTGCAAATTTATTTTTGGATCACTGAGCGCCCTTAAACTGTGCCCTTCTTTTTGGTGCTAGAATGCCGAACTATGCATTTTCTTTCTCCAAGTCACTCTATTGTATTTGTACTATCATTCATTTTCGTTACTGATTACTAGATTAAAGATTGAAAACGCAACTCTTAAGGAGAGCATGGAAAGTATGGAGCATCTGATTACCTCAATCCACAGGCTTCGTCTGTCTCTTGTAAAGGTAAATTCTTTAACTACATTAAATGATTTATAAAATTGATTCTCCAACCATGGAACTCCCTCTCTATGTTACTACAATTAGTATTTTAAACTTTTGGGGTGGGGAAGGAAATGGTAGGGTGCAAATTGTCGATGACATCGAAGTTGAAAGACTACGCTTTCACTAGAAGCTTAAGATGGCTTCCTTTTGTTTACCATACCAATTACAACGGAAAGAAACAAAGAGTTTAATAATCAAATCTTGCTTTGGGACGTTTTAGTTTTGAAATGTTATGCTGGTTTTATACTCTACAATAGCAATCCCATCTTTTTCTTCTTTCTGAGCTCATGTATTTCAGGCCAAAGAGTTGGCAGCTTTCGAAGGTACAGCTGCTACAATGTCAGAACATCTCAACGAGATTGTTAGCGGTGCAAAACTCGTGAAGACTGCTCTTGGAAGCTCCCTACCTATTAGCTGGTCTGCTGCTGCCGAGTTTGGGCTGGATGGTGGTAATTTGGGAAACGAGGCCAGTGGTGTCTCTGGGAACTCCAGCAATGAGAAGAAAGACTTTGTTACTGCTGCAGGAGTTGAGATGGTCGAGCTCTTGATACTTGCAGCGCAGATATTGAAGGATTACACGACTAAAAGTGCTGCAGTTCCAGACGAAGATGCTAATGGATCTTTGTAATGTGTTTCCAGTGGCGATGGTTGTGATGATCAACATATTCGTGTGATTGTGATCTGGAAAGAGTTTGGACGTGGATAGAAGGAAAATTTACTCTGGACATGAAAATGAAAGCCGCGTAAGGAGAATCGAACATGAAAGTTTGTACGCTTGAGACAAACATCATTTACTTTTTATACTTGCTTGTAATATATTATATACGTGTTTCAAAAGAGTGGATGAGTTCAGTTTATATTGTAAACGTGCATGGTTTTGTATTTCTCTGTTACTCTTATAATGTACAGTCATATTGGCTTTTCAGAAAGTTTTGCTGCCTTAAGCGGGATCGAAAGAATAAAAACCAAAAGAGGAAAAGTGAAGTTGACTAAGGTACCATTTGTTTCATAAATTTAAACTACAGTGTAGACCTTTTTGTCTGAATGTTTTTTCTCACAAAAATTTTGAATTTATGTTTAAACTTCATGTTCAAATGAAACCTAAATGATTAATTGTATAACTCCACAGAAAAACCTAGATTTATAATAATCATATGCTTCAACAAACCCACAATACACAGTTGAAAAAGAGGACCACTCGAGCAATGTTTGAAATGGAGATTACACAAGGAGCAAGAATCTGACTATGATTCAGCGACAGTTTCCACAGCAGGGACTTTCTCAGTCATGGAATTATTTTCACCGATGCCCTCTAGCTGGCTGTAATTCCCCTTCTCCTTGAAGAGCTGAATATGATGGTGCTTGCAGTAAAGCTTTCCCTCATGTGCAATATAGTTGGATGGGCTTATGGTGCAGCCTCCATGAGTGCATTTGAAGCAGCTTTTGTGGTATGGAGTTCCATTAACCGTCACCTTTGCAAACATCAATATATTTTGTATCATAATATTTATTTACATAATTACCCCGCAAGTTCGGTTATGTTTCATATATATATATATATATATATGTATGTATATGTCCTAGTTTCTAAGGTCCTGCAGATATCACTATCAACCTTGGCTTGGTTAAAATTAGACGGTAATGTTGGAAGAATGGAGAATTTTCTACGTTTAAAAACAAAGATATTCAATTTACATGGCGTAAAAACAATGGTCATGTTTAGTCTAATAAATTGAAGATGCCAAAAATTACCTTCTCAATAGGATATACAGTCTTGTTACACCCAACACATTTATCTCTGGTGCCACCAAACAAACTCGAGACTATCTTTGCATTCTGCAAAATTCAAATCCAATTTATCAGTTTAAAGATTGTTAGTGGCACTCAGAAATATTGTGTTTAAGTACTGTACATTAAAGTGAGAAGCTACAAATTGTAATTATCTCACGTAAATTATATGGTGAAAAACTAAAAAAAGTTGAGGGATTAATTATTACCTCACTGGTTGTTGGTTTTTCTGGTTTCGAAATTTTGGGAGTCCCTGATTTACAGAGAGTTGAAAGAAGAATTATGGGTTTGGTAAAATGGTATATAGTGTGATATTGATTTCTTAATTATATTTTTATTGATTTATAGTACCTTCAAAGCTCTTCTCCAGGCTGCCAGTTCGCTTGAAGAGTTGATCATAGTGAGGTCTGCAGTATAGAACTCCCTCAAACGAACAATAGCTGCTAAGCTGCAAATAAGTAAAACCAAAAACCTTCTTTCAATTGCCTAATCCAAAACTTGAACTCAAATTACCGGAGTTTTTTACGATTTTTTTTCCTTTGCCTTATGGTTCTCTTCCAGCCGCATATTATTCTTTTCGTCTTGCCTTGTATACGTATCTTCCTCAAGCATACTAGTGAATGATAATTCCTCTAGCTAGTTAAAATTTATTAATGGAAATGAAGATGGTATATATTATACGCTACAAAGTGTATGCATGCATGATCCATGCAAAGAGAACAATTTCCATATATAAGGACCTGATTTTTTTTTTCTTTTTCTTTTATATGTTTATTCTGCTATAATTTGTAATTTTGTCCCTTTGGATATGTAGAAATCATATGTCAGCCCCTCTTTTCAAAATATGAAGTTATATGGCCGCCCCTTCTCACTTATTTTTCTTACTCCGTCTCTATTAATTGATGTTAGTGGTTACGTACCTTGAGGGTGTTCCTGCAGTGATGGCATCGGAAGCAGGCCTTGTGGTAGGCTCTAGTATCAGCAGTCAACTTATCGACCAGGTACACCGTCTTGTTGCATGCCGTGCATTTCTGAGTCGTTCCGGCGAAACTCGCCATGCCTTCCTTTGCTATGATCCAACCCCAAGGCAAGGCCCGAGCACCCTTATAATTTTGCCACTGATCCTCTTCCTTTACTATTATTATTCCATATCTCCATTTTCCTGGTTATGATATATCCAGCCTTTTTATTTGCAACTAGAGAGAGGAAAAAAAAAAAACGAACAAAAAACCTGAGGTTCAGGTGAAAAGCACTGACAGATAAATGCGGGTGGCAATGAAAGCAAATTTGTAAAAAGCATTACTGGTATTGCTATTTAGCTATCATTTCTCCGAATTTAAAAGGACTCCATACCATTCACATATATATCCTTTCACGATATTAGATTACTATTTACTATACATCTTTTTATGACAACATTAATAACCCTTTTTATCGCTCAAGTGTGTATTATCTAATTTATACATTACTAATTAGATAAACATTATTCTCGTGCACACCAAAATAAGAAAAAAAAGAAAAGAGTAATGGTTGCAAATATAGCGTAGCGGTGTATTTATATACATGCGTTTAATATTGGGGTTTATCGCAGTTTGAAGCAATAATAATAATAATAATAATAATAAGGATAGAAGATCATGATCACTGGAATGCTTAGTTCACAAAGTAGTTACTTTTCCTTTTCCTAAGGTGATGAACAAAAGCTTTTGATTACCAAAATTTCTTCATGAAGGCCTAGCTTGATTCTTGCCAGGTCTCTATCTATTAATATTATGAAACTCGACCTAATTACGTATTATCCTTTCCAAACCATGATTAACGTCAAGTTAGGTTTGCGATGTATTAGCTCTATTTAGGTGTGCAATTTGGCCCAGCATCGCTGTTGCAACTTGCAACATAATCGCCCCCAGAAAAGATGCATATAATTTTTCCTCTTTTTAAAAGAAAATTAAACTAATGAATCCACCATAATAATAATAATAAACCATATTGACATCCAAGAGTTGAAACCGTGCCCTAGGGTATGTAACCACAAGAGCAATGGCTATACTGTGGACTGTAGTGTAATTCATCCGCCAAAGCTACGTAGAAATGAGTCAAATGACCCACCAAATTGGAATAGAGTAGTTTAATTTAATTTTTATTACCCATAAATTCTTGACAACAAATTGGGCATTTGGTCTAGTGGTATGATTCTCGCTTTGGGTGCGAGAGGTCCCGAGTTCGATTCTCGGAATGCCCCAAGTTTTTACTTTCTTCCAGATTCAACTTTTTTATCCCTTTGGAACAAAATTATGAAAATAGAATGAGAAATGGCAAAAGAAAAAAAAAAAAGAGTTTCTATTCTGGTAGGTGAAGCTGATAGAGGTCCGTGAACAATTGGTAAGTGGCAACGAAGCCTTGAAAAAGAATATGGAAATCTCATTGCAACGAGTGCCAGCTTTATTTAATTTACCATATGACACAATAAAATAAGAGTTTTTCTTTCTCGGATCCAGCTCAAGATGAAATGTAATGCAAATTAAAAAATGGGTCAACGACACAAAACTCGAAGCAAACTAAACACATTGGTTAGAAATAATTTACCAAATACAGATCCAGCAACACCACTCCAATAAAAAAAGAAAAAAAAATACACTACCTATACTTTACATTCTTTTTCAGGGGAATATACATTTTTATTATTATTACAATTATTTTTATTAACAGGCAAGGAATAATCGTCATGTCTTTATTACATCGTTAATATAACTCGTCCATATACATACATATATTACATCGTGATGGGGCATCAAAATAAATAATATAATTTTTGTTTTAAGCCTACATAAACTGGGCATTTGGTCTAGTGGTATGATTCTCGCTTCGGGTGCGAGAGGTCCCGAGTTCGATTCTCGGAATGCCCCAACCACCCAACATTTTTTAGACAGACAAAATGTGGTTGAAATTATTGGATAACCATAAAAAGAATAAGCAAGAAATTACAGGGCATGCAAGATTGGAACTGCCCCGAGTTCGATTTTCAGAATGCCCAGTTTATTTATTTTATTTCTTTTATAAACGAATTTTATTACTAGCTAGGACTCTAGGGCAACCATCATTTTTTAAAAAAATTTAATGAAAACAGCTGTCTTAAATTTCCACTTAATTTGAATGATGCTGTCAGAAATCTGCCTGCAAATGAAAACAAGACTTGATAAATAGGAAACAATTAAAAAAAAAAAAAAAAAAAAAACAGAGATGTTGACATTTGTGTGGCCATACCAGGATCATTACCTGTAAAATCATTCATCATACATTGATAGCAAATTCAGAACAATAAAACATTAATTTCTAAAAGAGGAACAAAATATTTAAAGCTGAAATGTTACGTACACTGAAGGTGCTGATTTTCACATTGCCCGCTTTAAATGCTAAAGAACTGCCCAAATGCTGCTATACTAGCCAACAGAACCACATCAGTAAATAAATAAAAATTGTGTGAACTCTTCATCTAAGGGTAAGATTTATTAACAAGCACCAGATGATCTTACCCAATAAGATTATGCTGTTTAGTTAGTGCATTGCCTAGTTTAAACTATTAACCGATTGAACATTGATCTTTGATCAAAGCATGTCAACTGGGCATTTCGTCTAGTGGTATGATTCTCGCTTCAGGTGAAAGAGGTCCCGAGTTTGATTCTCGGAATGCCTCATTTTTCAAAAATTTTTAGCTTGGCAAGAAATCTCTAACCCACTTTCATTTTCTTTTTTCTTGACCAATTATTTTTTACAGTAGCATTTAAGTTTGGTTCTTTCTGTGTCTCATGCTTATACTTTACTCCTCGAGTAAAGGCAAGACTGGGCAAACAGTCTAAGAAAGACATGGTCTGAATCACTGGAGCAACAACATAAGAAACAGTAAACCAAAAATCAGAAATCAGTTGTAGACATTAAGTGCTAGCAACGGGCATTTGGTCTAGTGGTATGATTCTCGCTTTGGGTGCGAGAGGTCCCGAGTTCGACTCTCGGAATGCCCCTGTTTTTCCATAACATACATAGATTCATCTTTTTTTTTTTATATTTATTGTTGCAAAACACATACCGAGTATAGATACAGCTTTCAATTCTGAATCACTGGAGCAACAACATAAGAAACAGTAAACCAAAAATCAGAAATCAGTTGTAGACATTAAGTGCTAGCATCGGGCATTTGGTCTAGTGGTATGATTCTCGCTTCAGGTGCGAGACTGGGCAAACAGTCTAAGAAAGACATGGTCTGAATCACTAGAGCAACAACATAAGAAACAGTAAACCAAAAATCAGAAATCAGTTGTAGACATTAAGTGCTAGCATCGGGCATTTGGTCTAGTGGTATGATTCTCGCTTCAGGTGCGAGACTGGGCAAACAGTCTAAGAAAGACATGGTCTGAATCACTAGAGCAACAACATAAGAAACAGTAAACCAAAAATCAGAAATCAGTTGTAGACATTAAGTGCTAGCATCGGGCATTTGGTCTAGTGGTATGATTCTCGCTTCAGGTGCGAGACTGGGCAAACAGTCTAAGAAAGACATGGTCTGAATCACTAGAGCAACAACATAAGAAACAGTAAACCAAAAATCAGAAATCAGTTGTAGACATTAAGTGCTAGCATCGGGCATTTGGTCTAGTGGTATGATTCTCGCTTCAGGTGCGAGACTGGGCAAACAGTCTAAGAAAGACATGGTCTGAATCACTAGAGCAACAACATAAGAAACAGTAAACCAAAAATCAGAAATCAGTTGTAGACATTAAGTGCTAGCATCGGGCATTTGGTCTAGTGGTATGATTCTCGCTTCAGGTGCGAGACTGGGCAAACAGTCTAAGAAAGACATGGTCTGAATCACTAGAGCAACAACATAAGAAACAGTAAACCAAAAATCAGAAATCAGTTGTAGACATTAAGTGCTAGCATCGGGCATTTGGTCTAGTGGTATGATTCTCGCTTCAGGTGCGAGACTGGGCAAACAGTCTAAGAAAGACATGGTCTGAATCACTAGAGCAACAACATAAGAAACAGTAAACCAAAAATCAGAAATCAGTTGTAGACATTAAGTGCTAGCATCGGGCATTTGGTCTAGTGGTATGATTCTCGCTTCAGGTGCGAGACTGGGCAAACAGTCTAAGAAAGACATGGTCTGAATCACTAGAGCAACAACATAAGAAACAGTAAACCAAAAATCAGAAATCAGTTGTAGACATTAAGTGCTAGCATCGGGCATTTGGTCTAGTGGTATGATTCTCGCTTCAGGTGCGAGACTGGGCAAACAGTCTAAGAAAGACATGGTCTGAATCACTAGAGCAACAACATAAGAAACAGTAAACCAAAAATCAGAAATCAGTTGTAGACATTAAGTGCTAGCATCGGGCATTTGGTCTAGTGGTATGATTCTCGCTTCAGGTGCGAGACTGGGCAAACAGTCTAAGAAAGACATGGTCTGAATCACTAGAGCAACAACATAAGAAACAGTAAACCAAAAATCAGAAATCAGTTGTAGACATTAAGTGCTAGCATCGGGCATTTGGTCTAGTGGTATGATTCTCGCTTCAGGTAAAGAAAACACAAAGAACCGTGTTTTCAGACACAAAGAACAGGTCACTGAAAGATCACAAAATTTTAGGTCAAATGTCAAGTGTACTAAAGATGCTAACATAGTATCCATAACATACATAGATTCATCTTTTTTTTTTTATATTTATTGTTGCAAAACACATACCGAGTATAGATACAGCTTTCAATTTTGCTATTATATGTTTGATGTCATAAAGTCCCTCCCTTTTCATTTTGTCTTGTTAGGTAACTGCAAATTATAACAATTTTCTTATTGATATTTTTATACAGTTTAATGGTCTCAAGTCAGCTGAGCACATGCCAATCTTAGACGATAATGAATACACAGACGTTCTTTTTCAAAAAAGACTTTAATGTATAAAAAATAGAAAACAAACTGCTAGAACTTACCTGTATTGTGGAAGCTTATTAGTCCAGAAGAATAAAATCCCGCCAGTAAAATTTCATAGCACTATAAGAAACACATTGTAAGCATACACCTTGGCAGCAAATTCGTAACCAAAAGGCGTGCCTATAAAAACATAGGAATACCTAGATCTTACAAAGAAAACACAAAGAACCATGTTTTCAGACACAAAGAACAGGTCACTGAAAGATCACAAAATTTTAGGTCAAATGTCAAGTGTACTAAAGATGCTAACATAGTATTACATTTGTGACTCAAATGCTACAAATCCAGAAAGAAGTACTACTTTATCAGGTCAGTGGACGAATGTTACTACTCACTTGTGAAGACCCTTCATCTAAGGTTAAGACCTACAACCGGCTCTGAACAAGCACTAGATGATTGTTACTCAAAAATATTTTTTTCCTCGTTCCCTCACCTAGTTTAAAATTTTCAAACACAATAATTTGTGCCTTGGCCAGCAGATCGGCTGGGCATTTGGTCTAGCAGTATGATTCTCGCTTCAGGTGCGAGAGGTCCTGAGTTTGATTCTCGGAATGCCCCAACTTCCCAGAATTTTAGCTAGACAAGTAATCTGTAACTCAACTAAGTTTATCCAAACTTTTTTTTTATTATTTTTTATTTCACAACATTTAAGTTCAATCATTTCCATGTGTCACATTTTAAAGTTCAAACTCATTCATCTAGGAAAGGCAACAATAATATTACAAGTAAACAGTCTACAAAAGATTCACCTAAAGGGCCGATCTATGACAAATAAAACAATATTGAAAGTCTTACTTCGATTCAAATCAGATTTGAAAACTAATACACAACGAACAAACCTAACCTATTGAAGGTATATTTAGTTTCAAATTTTCTAGCACCATGACAAACGATCAACTATCACAAGGCAATTTCGTAGTACAAACTCTCAAGGCAACCTGTAGCATGTGCATGTGCTTTTATATCTCCTGTAATGTAAACAAGGTTCATTACAGTAGATACTGAAGAATATACCCAATAAAAGAAACCAATCCACTGTTAAACAGACTAATCGAAAGATGAGCATTTAAAAGACTGACAGTGGGCATTTGGTCTAGTGGTATGATTCTCGCTTTGGGTGCGAGAGGTCCCGAGTTCGATTCTCGGAATGCCCCTGTTTTCTTAAGGTAGTTCTATATTTATTTTATTGTTCTTGTAAAGAGTCTTCTAACTGGTAGAACATTCAGTTTTGTTCTAAAATACTGCTATAATAAGTTACTCGGAACAGTGCAAGCATATTCGTTTTGATATTTTAAAAGCTTTAAGCAGCATATCCCGGTTCTAAATAGTCACCCAATCTATGTCATTCAATGATACCGTATTCAAACATATCTTTCTGTTGTTAGGAATCTGCAATTGAAAACAATTTACACTTTTGATATCCTATACTGCTATTGATACTGAGCCAACCGGGCACCTGCAACCTTAGATTCTAATGAGTTCAGACACATTTTATTTCAACAAGACTTTAATGAGTACAAAATGATAAACAAATTAGAGACACTGACATTTATGCAGCCAAGCTAGAACTTAGCTAGACTCATTTGTCCCAGAAAAATGAAAGCTAGACAATTAACATTTACACAACATAATAATTGCAAGATAAAACATCACAAAGACCAGTTATTGGGCATTTGGTCTAGTGGTATGATTCTCGCTTTGGGTGTGAGAGGCCCCAAGTTCGATTCTCAGAATGTCCCTGTTTTGTCTTCTGTTAACATAGTTCTATGTTTATTTTACTTGTTGCAAGGAATCTACTAGCTGGTGAATATTCAATTTGGTTCTAAAATTCTGGTCCAATGAGTTACTAGGAAGAGTGCAAGCATTTTTAAATTCTGATTTTTTATTTGCTTTAAGCAGTGTAACCTGGTCCTGACTAAGAGAGGATCTTTATCCAATGGTAATGTACCTAGAGATAACTTTTTGTTATTAGGATATGAGAATGAAAACAGTTCTCAGTTTGATATATTACCAAGAGCGGTACCAAACCTGCCTGCACCTGCAGTCTTAGATGATATTGAGTTCATATACATTACATTTCAAAAAGAATTTGATGACTAGAAATGAATGAGGCAATGTTAGAACTTACCTATACAGTCAGTTGCCTGATAAAAATGAAGCCTTGTCATTAACATTTACATAACACCATAAGAGGCAACTTTTCAACCCCCCAAAAAAAAAAAAAAAAATCATCAAAATAGGAACTGAAGAAACTGCACAAGGAAAGAACTCATTTCTCTGTTGAACATATCATTGCAAAATAAATGTCTAAATATCAGTTGTGGGCATTTGGTCTAGTGGTATGACTCTCGCTTTGGATGTGAGAGGTCCCGAGTTCGATTCTCGGAATGCCCCTGTTTTTTTTATCTTAAAGAATTCAGTTTAGTTTTTAAATAATACTACTCCAAGAAATTTCTAGTGAATTTCTAATATATTATTGTTGGAAGAGGGAAAACAGTTCCAACTCCTAAATGAAATATTATATGCTTTATGCAGCATGACCTGGTCCTGAGTCAACAGCGGAGCTGTACTATTATGGAACACACTCATTTATATCTATCTCAGACAAGACTTAATGAACAGTAAATATCACACAAACTAGATATACTGATGTACTATGCTAGAACCTAAGCTGTAACCTCACTGGTCACAGAGAGACAAAATCCAACCAATTCTATTATATTAATATCATATAACAATATGATACTTAAATTTCCAACTCCAGTATTGTATGTGTTATATAGCAAGCTAAAGTGTCAAGGACGCCATGTATTTACAAAGAGACACAAGATGTATCATGCTTATTATGCGTAAGGGACTAACTTAGGACACTAATATTCATGGAATTTGAGTTGAGAATTGAAATTTGATTGTTCCATGCCTCCCTAACATGCCAATATCAAGCAAATTATTAGATCGCCAGATCAATGAACAGACAAAAGTAGTTACTTAAGTCAATATGCTACAACAATAGGTAAGTTTTAAGAACTGAGAACCCAATGCTAGTAAGGCAGATGACAATGATGCTTAAAACATGACTTCTAATGATTACTAATCTGTAAAAGCAACTGGAGAAACTGTACAACATGATAAATAAATTCTTTAAATGCACATGTTAGTTATAAAATAGACATCATAATAATCAGCAGAGGGCATTTGGTCTAGTTATATGCTTCTCACTTTGGGTGCAAGAGGTCCCGAGTTCGATTCTCGGAAGTTAGAATGCCCCTTCTTAGTCAACAACATTAATTTTACTTCAGTACTTTTTTTTCCAGGAAACCACCAAAGCATAAAAATATTGCTTTTAAGCAAGTTGACCTGACCAATAGTCAGCATGATCTGCACCATTGAAAATACTGAATCTAAATAGGAATAGTTTCTCATGACATTTCAAGAATGAAGTGCCAAAAGAACACAGCCGCAGATACTAACAATGAGGTGGTTATGCTAAATAAAAGTTTTGATATGATACCTTTATTTCATGCCTTCTAGATGTTTTATGGGCCACTTTGGTTTCGTGTTCTTGTGAAACATATACACGAATAATAGTTGGATTATAACTAGGAATCCCCCTGTTATGGATCCATCGCATATCAATAATTCGATGTCTACTATCTTTAATCCTATAGTCACCATAAAATGCAACCACAAAATTAAGAATAATCTAGACAGCAATATTCTTTTCATTCACGTATTGCAGACACCCTAATTAATTGAAAACTCATTCATTTAACATCCAATGGCCTAACAAACGCACAATAACAATGGTTTATACTTTAGAGCAATCTAATGCAACTCTATTTCTTATGTAAAGACCAAAAAGAGAATCCACTCAATAGACAATGACAGAACATACCAATGTGTTGCACCCTCGACACAAGATTTTATTTTTGATCCCACTTAAGACTTCAAGAATTATAAGTGGCTAACCATTCTATGAATCTACATCACATAATAGAAGAACCAAATCAGTCATCTAGAAAAACTCCATTTGTGCATAAGAATAGAATGGTAACAAACTTCTTAAGCAATGAAAAATTGTAACTATAAGTCTAAAACTAAAATCTCAATGTCCACTAGTATCCCGCTTTAACTGGGTAACTCTGCAGATAAAACATAGAATCCTACATCCAAAGTTCTCATTCTAAATACAACAACAATTACAACAAAAACTGCTTGGACAACTAAGTAGTCATGATAAGTACATAGAATTTCTATTGCCTGAAAAAACCCGTCAAGCTAAAGCCGAACCTTTTTTTTTTAAATAAAAAACTATTTGATTATAGAGCAGGCTATAGCGTGGGTGGTTGTTGAAACTAAATTAGAAACGTTGGAAATCTGATGAGAGGGCCCAAGAGTAATCAAAATAATGATAAAAACAAGACATAGATCTCAAAACATGGAACAAATATTATAAATAATATAACAATAAGGTCATGAATCTCACCACTCAAAACAATCTTGACATCTAATATATTGACCTTAAACCCTAACCAAACAACCTCACAGTTTTAGCAAGAGCTTGAGCTCGAGAGCAAGCAATAAGTAAAACTTGATAAATCAACTAAATAACATAACCTTCAAGTGCAAAAGTATCAATTTTAAGAGGATAATACGACCTTTTACCAACAAATATACAGTCGAAAAAGCAAATTTCAGCAAAATATGATCCGTGTTACGAATTCTAAAACCCTAGATAGAATTCAATTTTGAAACAAGTATGGTATTTTCATCAACAAACAACACTGGCAAATAGAAACCAATGAATCTGCAATTGGTCACCTCAATCACAGTTTACAAAAAAAAAAATTTAAGAACAAAGCAAACAAGCAAGGTCTATAAGCACTGACCTTTACCACTCGCTTTAGCCACAAAGGAAAGAGAAAATAACAGCAACACTAGTTCTCTGCTTGGCTGCCCGGAAAGCGACGGACTGCAGTTAATTTGCGGCTCGTGAGTGAAGTATTATTGGATTCTTTTTTCCGTCACGAATTTTCCTCCGTTTTCTTGGCAACCAAACGAAACAAGCATTGAAAAATCCAGCCCAGAAATTCGTGGCGGGTTTTGAGCCAAAAGACCAAAAGAAGACCAGTGTTCTTAAAACATTTTGCTTCATTATTTCGCGTTTCGCGCCGCGTGGCGCTTCGGTGATTTCAAAAAAAAAAAAATTATGAATAAACTTTATTGTAGTTTAGGCCAACAAATTGTCGTTTCGTGTAAAAAAAAAAAAAAAAAAAAAAAAATTGGCTTGTTGGTTTTTAATACTTGTATGGCTCAAACCACACGTCACGTTACTAGAATAAAAGTGTTTATTGCCCTGATCCCCTATCTATATTGTCTGTAATATTTTTTTTCTATCTAATAAATAATTGACACCTCATTTATTCATTAAAGCGCAACTAACGGAGTGAAAAAGCTTTTTCATTTAATTAAATTAGATTTTTTTTTATTTATTGGATAGACAAAGAATAGGAGAGACAATGTAAACGGACGATCTAGGCAATAAACACTTTTATTCAAGCAACGTGACGTTGTGAAAATACATAATCTTCTAATTACGGTGGTTGGTCTGGTCCCAAACTATCGATTTGGCCAGACCAATCTCTTTTGGCAGTTTAAGAAATAATTCAAAGAGACCAAATGGTTATATAAGAGGATACCAAACCAAACTAATACATTACGGTCTAGTTCAATTTGGATCAGGGTTTTCTTCTCATATTTGAGTTAAATTTGGGTCTAAATTAGAATGGTCCAAGTGACATTCTATGAGTTTTTTTTGGGTTATTCTGTGAACTTTTTCTTATCATTTTTAAGTTATTTAAGGATTGAAAACTCGAAAAACATACACATTAATAGTGCTACATTTCATATTTCTTAAACTCAAAGTCTAAATACAATTTACGGTAAATACTAACAACTTGAAAGCATGGGTGAAATTTTAATTATATATTAGTTTTGAATAGTTAGGTTTAAACTATTTCTTAAAATTCTCAAACTGGTGTGAATTGCTAGTCCCGTTTCATATCATTGATGTATAATGTAAATCTAGATCGATGATATGAACTCTAATAAACAGATGTGATTCAACAATTTCGATCTACTCTACACAATCCTACTTGTAGTTGTTGAAGTTCAAACAAACAATTCACTTTCTTGTCAATATTGTTCTCTATTTTTTTTTCTTTTTAGTGAAAGTTTTTCAATTTTTTTGTTGAGTTTATTTATGTGGATTTTTTCTAAATAAATTTGTCATTTATTGCAATTTTGTTCTTTATTGTTTTTAATATATGACGTCATTTTGTGTTATTTGATGAGGTTATTGCTATTGTTATTTTTAAAAGAAAATTGTATTATTGTTGTTTTTTTATAAAAAAAAAAAGATTTGTTATTTGTCATTTCGATGTCACTTTTTGACGTACTCGTATTGTCATTTATGACCCGTTTAGTTTGCTGATTCAAATTTTTAATTCGAATTAATATATGATTTTATGGGAGAGTTTTTAACTGTATCAAAAAAGTTAGATGTGATTGTTTCTGAAAACTTTTTACTATAACAAACTCGAATCGGTGAAATGAACGGGACTTTATTCTTTCTGGTGTCGTTCCAACATCTCCCTTTAGGCATCGTTTTGAATCTTTGTCGGCGGTTCGTTTCTATTTTCGGTTACATCTCACTTTTATTGTTTACCCAAAGTTGTCATTTTTTATTCCCGAGTTTTGTCTATTTTTGTCTTTCTCCTCAACTCTCAGGTGTTGTCGTTCACGTTTTTGTCCCAATTTGTTTTGGGGAATTTTTTTTTTTATCTAGTTGTCAGTTTTTGGATAGAAAAGTGAAATTCATATGGCTAACCCCAATTAAGTTGGGATTAAGGCTTGTTGTTGTATCTAGTTGTAGGTTTTTATTTTTATTTTTTACTTTGTCGTCGTTACCTAACATATTTGTCGTTTCCATCTTCATAGTTTTTTCTTTTATTGTCGTTTGTTTCATCACAATTGTCGTTTTAACCTTATCACCAACTGTTGTCGTTTGTAACTTATGATATATATATATATATATATTATTTTGCTCTTCTTGTTATTGTTTATAAGGGTCCGTTCGGTTCGTTAATTCGAGTTTTTAATTCGAGTAGAGATGTGATGTTGTGTGAGATGTAGCAAAAAAGTTAGATGTGACTGTTTCTGAGAGCTTTTTATTGTAGCAGAACTCGAATGAGCGAAATGAACGGGGCTAAAGTTTTTCTGTTTTTGACTTTGTCCTCATTTGTTGTTGTTATGGTTTTTCTTTTGCTATTTGGTAAGGTTCTGTCGTTTTCTGTGTAATTGTCGTTTTATATTTTTGTTGTCATCTACATCAACGTTGTCGTTTCTACTGTATCCTCTTTATTTCATGTTCTTATAATTTGTTGCACTTTATGATAACACGCTTTCTGAGTTGTTTTGTACTTGTCGTTTCCATGTTTTGTCGTTTATTTTATTTTTTTCAATTTGTTTATATCTTAGTCTATTTTCTATCTGAAAATGGCTTTATAATCTCGTTGTTCATTCTATCTGCGTCGTTTTTATGGAGTGTTGGCTTATGTACCTTGCAATGTCTTAAAAATAAAATTGCAAACAAATCTTAGAAAATGTAAAACATTTGACTAGTACTAAAAAACAATGTTAGAGATCTCATGTCTATTGACAAACCTTTGTTATTTGTTATTAATACATATTTTAAAATTGCATCTCCGGATCCAAAGTAAAATTCATTTATCACGTGAGTTTTTCTTTCCCGCTAACTTGGAGATTCAATTATCACGTGAGTTGATATCAACATAACAATTGAATTGAGATCTCAAGCACTACTCAAGTACTCAACCTTTAAAGGAGCTGAGGTATTCCATTTCTCTTTTCCACGGAATGCCCATGCTAAAGCAGCCAAAAGTCACCCCAATCCTCTCATGTATCAACAAACGGTAAGAATAGGCAGAAAATAGCATTAGTGATGTATAGACACAAGTAGTGATGTAAAGACACAAGTTTAGCTAGTTTGAGGATGAAGTGCAAAGATCTAGAAGTTTTCCGCTCAAACCTATGAAAAGAACACCCCCTTAGAAGTTCGGGGACTTAAGTGCCAGCCCCAGGATAGGTTAGTGGACTAATGATGCTACAATGCTCCGCCTATTGCCTTGAAGTTTGACAAAATAAAACGGACTCAACAAAAATTGGTAGCAATAGAAACGATTATCAAGACTTTGACAAGAAAACGCATTCGGAAGGCCAGAACTTAATACGAACAAAGTAAACTCTATTTCATTCAAACACATAATCGAAAACAAAGAAAAATCTACAGGAATAGTTAGCTAGTTTTCATCATCGAAACATGGATATTACTTAAAAATAAGATGTGTACCAAGAAAATAAATGATGTATTTGAAGCTAAGCTGGGGGCTTGTACTTAAAAATAAGATGTGTACCAAGAAAATACATGATGTATTTGAAGCTACGCTGGGGGCTTCTTGTTGAGGAAGAAGATCATCAGATATTGATACACGCCTATGGCCCAAAATGCAGAAAAGCCAGTTCCATAAGCCCCAAGAATTTCAACCTTGCATGACCAACTATTGATAATGCGGATTAAGACGCTCAATTTTTTGACTTCGAATGCTTTACAAGCCAATCAATAACTGTATCAATATTCGTAGAGTTCTTACAAGAAATCTCTATCAGTAATTGACCTGAGTCCCCTGCGCAGAAGAAAACCTGCCTCAGTTCCAGGTATAAGAAGCAAAATCTTTCATAAATGCAGTGCTCAGAAACCTGACTTTTGGCTTTTGCTGCACGTAACATCTGAATTTCGGCTTTTGTTGTATGTTGACGACAAATAAGAAAACAAAAAGTTTGGCAATGACTTTTAAGTAAATACGGAGAAGAGACTGCATGCTCACCCCTTTTTTTTTGGATGATCGATAAGCCACCCAAATCATATTTTCACATGCTACTATCAACTTACATTTGTTCTGTCAGGCCCTCTTTGGACAAAGCTCCTGGTTTGTCAATTTTGCTGCCCAATACCAGCAATGGAATACCATTCAGTGAAGGTTTACTCAACAGGTCATGAAGTTTGCTTTGGAGACCGGCAAGTTTTCACAATCAGCAGCATCCGAAACATAACTGCAACATGCAAAAGTGAGGCCAGAAATTGTTGGTTACTCAAAATTATAACACCACACTAGTGATCCGAAATCTCAGTGATTACAATATTACAAATAACATAAAAGGACCAACATGTTAAAATGCCTTGCAGTGAAAGTCGAGGGAAAAAGTGGTATAAAATCAACAACGATATGGATCAAAAATAGTTATAGTCATACACAATAGCTGAAACTGTGAGGCAGTATCTTTCTTACATACTGCGGAACCTTGGCTGTCCTCCAAGATCCCACAACTTAATTGTCACGTTGCCTTTGGTAACTTTCTTCATATTAAATCCTACCTGCAGACAAAGGGGATAATTATAAGAGAAATTCTCTCATGAAATCCTTACAGGTAAAGACAAAGGGCATGTAAAGATTCATTGAGAAAAACGAATTACCGTAGGGATCATGTCTTCACTATATCCACCCGTCTTGCAAATAAGATTCAGAAATTCGAATCAAGAAATCAGCACCAAAAATAAATAAATAAATAAAAATGAACAGATTTATCTGTCACATCTTTAAATCCTTATTCCACATTCCAGGAATCATCACACCAAATTACTAAGAAAATATGTTAGAATAAATACATGTCTCTATTAGTGCAGCCTTAATCTCCAGTAGAAATCTCTAAGATAACGAGCATGTTGAGTTATTGTCTTCCTTAGTCAAATCACAAGATTCTTGAATGATGTGTTTTCTCTCTAGATGGGGAAGAAGAAAAACGGCCAAATGATTTGACGTATTGGGGACCATAACCTAGTTTCTTTATATACTGTCCCATTAGGCTCCCATTAAACCTAATTTGGTCAATATTAGGTATCCACCCATTTAGCTCATACTTAGTTAGGAGACTATTGGGCTCTCCACAATTA